TTTGGCGCGCTGGACTGTTTGTAAATTAGACACGGCGTTTTATTTAACCGTGCTTCCATGGGGAGCGTGGTTGTGACGAGAGAGCTCGCGGAGAGCTTTTACATGGTGTGTTTAACGTCGTGTGGCTCCCAGGGGTTGCCCGGTTACACGGGACTCAGCCATGTGTCGCTGTGTTGTTGAGTTGGGTTCGCGTTGACGGTTCTTTGCGGCTGTGCGTCGCAGACGCCCTGTTCGTGGACCTCCTTTGAGACACGGTGTCTTCCCGATCACGATGGTACGCACAAGCCGAAGATAGGTCCGAAATGGACGCACGTTGTGTCGGGGGGGCAGCAGGCTGTAGGCTCCGCCGGTGGCTTGATGCCAGCGCATTGGCCAAAGGGTTTGGTGGGACAGGCGGGCGGTGCTGACGGCGGCGGCGGCGGCGGCGGAGAAGGCGGAGACGGCTCCTCTGGAATCGGCGACGGAGAGGGCTCCACCTCTGGCTGCTCCTGGGGGGGGGCAGGGGAGGGCGGCGGCGGCGGAGAAGGGGAGGGCGGTGGCGGAGGAGGTATCGGAGGCGGCGCAGGCAGGCCCATGGCTGGAGGCCGGGGCGAAGGCGACGGGCGAGAGTCGCTCGGCTGGAGGCTGTAGGAGTACCCATCCACGACTTCAGGCTCCTCGGCGTCCGCTGTGAGGTTGGCCTCAAGGCCTGGCTCGTCACTCTCGACGGCGAAGCCCTGCGGCACCCTGACCGCCTCCCGCCCGTCCGACGCTCTTGGTGCATCCGCCGTGCGAGCGAACAGTGAGAGGACTGCTGAAATGTCAGAGGACCGCGCCGCAATGTCAGTCGCGGCCATCGCGAGGACGGCGGCGAGGCCAAGAAACAGCACCATTGACGCGGCGCAGCGTCTCGGGGGTTTGCAACGCCCCATTCTGGACGCAGCGTCGTCCCTGATGAGGCCGTAGCGGCCGGATGGAGGCGCGTCGAAGCCAAGCATGGCTCGCTAGTTCGTCGTGGATGGACGTCGTTGCGCGTCGGCTTTTACAACAATGATAAGAAAGAAGAGCTATTGACATAGGGGCGCTCGAGGCGTACGCCGCGTCGGCGGCAGGGGCCAGAGTGATTCGGCGAGACCGGCACTTCTTCGCGAACCAAACGCACCACGACGTGGTGAGGGCTTTTCTCCAGAGGGTGAGACCGGGGCCGGACCCGCGGACGGGGTTTGTGGACATCGAATTTGAACACGGGAGACGCACGGACGCCTTGGTGGCGGCGGGTTGGCTCTCCGGGGGGAGGGAGTACGCTACAACCCCTTCGGCGGACCCCTTCCGGCTCCCGAGACCCATCCGAAGCACCGCGCTGGCGCGCTTTGGC